CTGACTATTTAACCTGTGATATAAAGTGTTTTTGGTACATGTTATTGGGAGTCACCCGAGAAGCCTGAGGAGGAGGCTTGGCCCGCCCGCACGCTATCTCGAAGTTTCTCACAATTTTTCACGCTATCTCGAGGTTTCTCACAGTTTTTAGTCCAGGTGGGCATGTTTTGTTCACTGGGAGATGTTCTCACGTGATGCAGAGGGTGGAAAGTATTAAATAGAGAGCGCTCAGAAGAGAGTTAGAGTCTGCTGAGAGTCTTCCGATCGGGACGTCCAGCTGTGTTGGTGTATGCTCTGCCTAGGCTGTCTGGCTCTCCAGTCTATGTGTCACGGTGAGAGTTTTTTTTCCTACATCAATACTTGTGAGATTGTACATTTGTGATTGTACCTTGCTTTGTTGTTATGCTGTAATCTGTGGCGAAATAATAAAGACACTATTATTTTAGCAGAAACGGCGTGTGTGCGATTCTTTTTGACCATTAAGCTGATACTCTTCCGAATCCTGGATTTATTTAAACAAATATATCCCAAATCAAATGATTTCTGGTGATAATTCTTACAGCTCTTTTCTGTAAAATAAAAAAAGGCTTTGTAAATGTTTTACATGCTTCCCCCAAACATCAATGCAATAGATTAAATGTGGAACAATGATTGTGTTATACAACATGTACAGAGCTTTATCATTTAATAATTCCCTGACTTTGTATAGTACTGCAATAGATTTAGATATTTTTATTCTTACAGAATTTATGTGATTTTTCCACGTTAGCTTTTCATCAATGATTACACCTAAAAATGTCATCTCATTAACTCTACAAATCTCAACACCCTCAATTTTAAATGGATCTTCAACAGTTCTCTTTTTGTTACTAAATATCATGTATTTAGTTTTATCAAAGTTTAATGATAATTTATTAAGTTTAAACCAAGTTTGTATTTTATTAAATTCTGTCTTCATCAATTCCAGCATCCATTTTACATCTTTACCAAAACAAAAAAATGTGGTGTCATCTGCAAAAAGGACACATTTGAGGAGTCCTGATACATTTACTAAGTCATTCACATATAAAATAAATAACTTTGGTCCAAGTACAGAGCCTTGAGGAACTCCACATGTGATATTGCAGAGGTCAGATCTTACACCATTTATTTATACAAACTGTTCCCTATTTTTCAAATAGCTAGATACCCAGTGTAATGCTGGTCCTCTTATACCATATTTATTCAATTTTTCAAGGAGAATATTGTGGTCAATAATATCGAATGCTTTTTTTAAATAAAAAAAAATACTAACAGTATTGTTTTTGATCGACAGCAGTAGTTATTTGTTCTATTAATTCCATGCGAGCCATTGATGTAGAGTTTTTTGATCTAAACCCATACTGACTGCTACTTAGAATGTTTTGTTTAGTAATAAATTTATCTAATCTGGTCACAAATAGTTTTTCAAGAATTTTTGAGAACTGTGGTAATAAGGATATTGGTCTATAATTATTGAACACACATTTATCACCATTTTTAAAGAGAGGAACTACCTTAGCTACTTTCATATTGTCTGGAAATATTCCTTTTGAAAATGATAAATTACAAATATATGTAAACGGCTCGATAACATAACTCATTATGTCCTTTGCAAACATCATATCCATGTCCACCCAGTCTTTTGATCTCTTATCTGTAAGATTTTTTGTTACATTCATTATTTCTTCTTTGTCAGTTCCATTAAGAAAAATACTGTTGTCACAACCTATAACTGAATGGTTCACATTATTGTCTACTTTGGGTATTTTAGCTGCAAGGCTTGATCCAACGTTCACAAAATAATGATTAAATCCATTTACAATTTCATTTTCATCATGGATTTCATTGTCATCTTTCAAAAAATGTGAAATACCTGTTTTTGCTTTATGACTTTTCAGAACACTATTTATTACTCGCCATGTAGCTTTCATATCACCATTACTTTTATTTAATAAATCATTATAATATTCCTTCTTGGGCAGCACGGTGGCGCAACTGGTAGAGCTGCTGCCTCTCAGCGAGCAGGTCCCTGGTTCAAATCCCGGTCCGGGGGCCTTTCTGGGTGGAGTTTGCATGTTCTCTCCATGCATGCGTGGGTTTTCTCCGGGTACTCCGGTTTCCTCCCACAGACCAGGCTGATTGGCAACTCTAAATTGTGTAG